CCTTTTTATATATATATGTTTTAGTTCACTTAAAGGTGGGGTGGGTAATTCACTTCAGAAACACTTTTTGTTATATTTCATGGAATGCTCTTAACCTCCCGATAGCAATGAATACATTAAATGCTTTGACAAAAAATCCATTAAAAAATGTCATCTGAAAGCCGTAGTACTGTAAAAAGCACGACCAATCATTTTAGCCGGCCCGGCTAAAATAACTGGATGGCCTACCTGCCTGTCAGCCTTCCATCTCGTGAAAAAATGTATCTCGTGCCCTCATTGGTCATGTGCGCGTTCGTGTGTGTTGGAGGAGGGACTCTGTAAGAAAGTCTGAAGGAAGGGGCAGATTTTAGCGCACTCGAGCAGGTTTCTCCATTTTTACCTACCCTACCTTTAATGAACTGTATATATATATTTGTATTATTCTTTAAATGTTGGTAATATTTTCAGCCGACTTTCTTTCTGTGTATTGCATCCTGAAATTGAAAAAAAGACAGAGTGGCATAGAGAGGGTTAACCTTAACCAAAGCTGCCTGCTGGTCGTGGATTTACCAGAGCATTTGCGACATAAAATGTGACATAACAAGCCCTTAAGTAACGGTAATTTAGTCAAGCAAATAAATGAAATCCGGCATTAGGGCACTCGTTACTGTCATAAATCACTGAGTCATTTGAGTAACTTTGCAATGAGTTACTTAGACCCCATCAACAATGTATCACAATGAAGAAGCTTTTAAACTACATTTGAACTCAGATCTATTTATAAAAATAGAAAATTAAAGATGCCATTGTGAGGCAGAACTTTTGTCATCAACCTACTATGTCATGGTTTTTATCAACAGTATTCAAAAGAACAATTCGTTTGACAGGTTGTATTATATCATTTGAGAACCAAAACAGTAAAGGACATACAGTTACTCTGTGCTGAGTGCACTCCCAGCTTTAGTGTGTATGGTGTACTTTATAGGGTTTTCAAGAGGGGGTAAGCATATAGTATGTGACCCTCTGAGCGTGTGTGGTTGACAGTTTAAAGAGTTTGGTCGAAGTCACTCAGATGGAAATGTGAATAAATTCTCAATAACAAAACAATACCGATGATTTGTGATGCCTTTCCAAATCCCATCTTGACCTTCTTTTTCCAGAGTCAGTGTTTCAGGGCGCATAAACACCCGCTCAAATATCCAGGGAGCTTTATTCTGCATGCTTGCATTTTTTAACGACACTTAATTCTGTCATTTTTACTATCTGAATGTACGACATGCTGAAAACTGAGTCATATTAAGTGTGCAGTCGGACATGTTCCCTGTATGATCAGGGAGAACTTGAGATGTGGGTTGGTATGTGTCTGTGTGTGATCAAGGGTGTGTTGACAGGGTCGTCTTAATTCTGTCCTCTGAGATCTGGTTACAACACACACACATATACACACACACACACATACACACACACATATATACACACACACACAACTTACAGTAAGTTGCTGATCTAAGAAGCTGCTATAAATACAGCTCCACATCTGCTACTGCGTTCAGAGTTCAGAGGCTCTGTAAACTATGAAAACTTGCCATCAACTAAGTAACTAACCAGACAGTTTTATTTCAGGCTGCTGCTGAGTGGTCAACAGATCCTTGAAACGCTGCCCAATATGTAAACAAACACTTTCAATTCAGAGCTTTACATAGCACACGTTTCTTTAAACAACGCTTCTCCTGCTCTGAAGAATGAAGTAACAACAAAAGTGCTCAGGGGTTTCAAACTGTGACAGACATTGAACACAAAGGGCTTCTCGTGAATAAATCATATAAGATATACAAACAGTAAAATAAAAAAACACACACAAAATAAAACTAAACCAATGGAGGAAAGACAAATGGCAGTTAAAATAAGTGGAGGTGTCAACAGTGACCGCAGATCGGGTGTCTGTAAGTATGCTGAGTGGTGTAAATCAGATCACGAGGAATTCTCCTCAGTGTTTTGGTGCATGGTCATAATAAATACAGTGAGAGAAAATAAGAAATGCAAAAGTCTTTAGTTTGGTCTCCTTTAGCATAATAAACTCTGCATTATACATCTGTTCAATGAATAAAGAGTAACCAAAGAAGGAAACAAGCTATCAGGGCTGGTGAGCTGGTTAGGTTGACCCCTAACGGGACAAGTAGTTTACACATTTTTAACTCCTGTCTACAAATTCCCCAAACCGTCCTCTGGGGAGCCGTTAAAATATGCTGACAGGAGGTTAACGGCTCTGCAGACCCTCAGTTATCCTGAATGATCACAAGCCCACCCAGGGTTAAGATGAGCAGAGATATCTGTGATAACATTGAAATAAATTAATTTAGCTGCGGAATTGTATTTTAAATGCAGCTGTAAACTTCTAAATGATTGAGAAAGGAGTGACGTTTCTTTCTGGGTGCTGTGTTTGCTGACATCAGCAGCTGCCTAGATCACATGTTCTATAAATTCATTGTAAACCCTTTCTTATATGCAGTGTCTAGTTTCCCGCTGGTCAGTCCAGTTGTATCTGCTGCAGTTTGATTTATGGTTGTGGCTGGAATCAGGGTTATCTTTGGTATTCACACACACACACACACATTTACATACACACTCTCATAGGATGAAGATGTATCTGCACATTGCTGTTGTACCGTCAGCTGCAGACTGAAGCTCCTGCAACCGATCTAACTTACGGAGCTCAGCGTCATGCGTCCCAAATCACCTCTGTAATTCAGCCACTGTGGTTACTAAGAAGTGTGGATGATATTTAATTCCCCCCTAATCCACCTCAGGTAGATAACACCAGATGGGACAAACCTCTCAGGTTTTTGCAGGAACTTCAAGTTCCTTAATGATTGAGAGTATCGTTTCAGTAACTCCTAGAAACTCCTTTAGGATCCCTGGAACATTGTCTTTTGTCAGACGTTATAGAGACTCCAGGAATAAATTGCTATGACCTCATGTTTCTTTTTCACCCTATGTGTGCCTGTTTGCTTTCTGGTTTGATTTTCCAAGAACAGATATATAAAATGAATACAACCTAAGTGAAAGAGAGAGCTAAACTTAGATGCAAAGCATTTTCAGTTTTGTAAAAAGAAACCCGTAGCGAGCTGTGAGGAGCCTTTAACAATGGTGAAACATTAACATAACCACTTCTTTTGACAGCTTAACATTAATCACCTTAACAGCTTAATATGATCTGTACGTTACCCAGCACACTGTGTAGAGTTTCTCATTCATAGCAGTGGATGACAGATACTTTGACATCCTTCAGCAGGCATGGAGTCGCCTAACACTACAGCCAAACTACATGCAGCGGATTTAATTTAAATCCATGAAAAGGTTGTTGGTCAGTAGTAAGCCGAGTTGAAAGAGCTGACCTTTGAGGGAATAAAGAGCCCGGAAGGTCTCAAATAGAAGAGCATATCATGGCTAATGAGATGCATTGCATCATACAAAAAAGCTGGTCCACGAAGGAGGAATGGATGGCAGACAGTTGAAACCATAGACTGTACAACAAATATGTCTCTCAAAGAAACTCTCCGTTGTTGAAGGTGCATGGTTTTTGGTTTTTAGTTTTTTATGCTGATATATGACCGTTACAAACTATACACTGACAGCCCGCTTGCTCATATCCTTTACTTATAAAAGTATCCATACCACGTCATACAAGGTATTCCATTTTAAATGAAAGTTCTGCATTAAAAGAAAGTACCAAAGTATCAAGATCAAAATCCACAGTCACATTGAACAGTATAATTACTTTTTTCATTGTTATATTAGTAACAGAATTATATAATTGAAAATGTTCATCAATGTAGAAAAGTGTAGGCAAACGTTTTGCAATCTGAGGTGGAGCGACTGTTTTGTATTTTGTCATCATGTGTCAAATGTATATCTTTAAAGCAACTAGTAATCATTGCTCTTCACTAAATGTAACGGGGGAAGAAAGTTAAAATTCCCCCCTTAGTGCACTTTGTTAAATTATTGAAAATGATAAAGGTTCGAAAAAATATTGATACACGTTACGTTAGTATTGCGATATTTTGGGAGATAAGGTATCATATCTTTGAAAAACTAAGGATTTTGGGAAACAGTGGTTCAGATTGGACACATTGTAATGCCATGATGTTGGATGTTACAGGAACTGTGAGGAATGTAAATGCAGACCCCACCGCATAGTTTTGCATACAGTGGTTTGTAATTGATACTATGACAATTTATCCATAAATGACATTACAAAAGTTGCTATAAGGCCTAGTTAATCACAACATATTGAATCCTGCCCCATGTTTCATGATATCACATCACATCGCCAAATTCTTGCCAATACACAGCCGAATTTAAGTTTTTTTATCTGAAAAGATGCTTTTGGAGGATTAAAATGATTTAAGAAAAGCTTCAGACTTGATCCGGTATTAAAAAAGATCATCATATTGTATTGTATTAGTATATACAATCAAAAATAAATCTAGTCTGGTCGGAGTATTTCAATCTTGGAAACTCATGCTTATCCAAGAAAAAATCATTTTCAATATCCACAGGGAATTATTAAAACAATCACACTTGTAGAATTTACTGTATACCTTTTTCTTTAAGAGAGCATTCTGCAGTGTTGCTGTTCTGCAGAGTCTTTGGTAAGCAGAACAATACAAATGTCAAAAAGAAAACAACACAAATCTTCTTTTACCCTCATTTTCTAAATAAAGTGTACTGCAATCTCTTTAAATTAAGTCAAATGAAGTGACTCATTTCAGAGTTTGGAGAATAAATGTGAACTGTGCGAGAGCGATGTAGAATTGTCCGTGGTACAAACATCGGTATATCTTTATTACAGCTTCATCCAGCAGAGAAACATCTGGTGCTGTTAATCAGACTGTAAAGCGATGCAGTTAAAGTGAAACTGACAGCAGCGAGAGACATTTCTCACACCCACAGCAGGAAGTGATAAAGCCTGAAGATGGCAATGAAGATGATGGCATTTATTTAAATTAAATATTTCCTACCTGAAACAGAAGCCTTTTTTTCTGTATCTCAAATCAAGATTGACTTTTCAACTCCCTCTCTCCGCTTGCTGTCTGTATGTAGCACTCGTCTGTTAGCTACTGTACTCTTGCTTTTCTCGCTCTGACCGTGTTCCTCTGTTCTCGTCTTTTTACCGACCCCTCACTGTGAGTGTGAATATGTGAGAGAGTGAGAGAAAGAGAGAGAACGTGTATCGGGTGACTGGACTAAGAGTGGCATGTGTCATCGCTATCTGAACTCCCAAACTGAGCGTCAGGTGTGTGTGTGTGTGTGTGTGTGTGTGTGTGTGTGTGTGTGTGTGTGTGTGTGTGCGTGTGCGTGTGCGTTACTTCTTCTTAATCCCCTGCTGCCATTTCCTCCAGAGAGAAACTCTATCCCCGGGGATGAGAGGGAGTGAGAGAACGGAAAGAGAGAGAACGAGGGTGTGTGTGTGGTGTGTGTGTGTGTGTGTGTGTGTGTGTGTGTGTGTGTGTGTGTGTGTGTGTGTGTGTGTGTGTGTGTGTGTGTGTGAGGGGGAGTAGGGACATACACACTGAGAAAGGAGAGATAGTGTGAAAATGAGAGCGGGGGGAAGAGAGAGAACAAGCCCTGCTCAGACCTGGCATTAACATTGGTCTTGGGTGATCTGAACACAAGGGGACAGAAAGTGTCTCTTCATGCATATCATGTGACCATTTGTAATCAGATCTCTTATTACCGCTCTATTTACAAATTAAAACATTTCCCATCTTCAAAGAACAAATGTGTTGTTGTTTTTAACTGTCCAAGGTAGCACTTGTGTCTACAGGGAATTCAAAGAATGCAAATGTCTACAGGAAATTAAAACAATGCAAACTGGGTCTTTTCCTCCGAGTGTTCGAGGAAACCAAACCACCCAGGATGTTTGACACAGTGTATTCAGACGATGTGGGCGAAGCCAGCTTGAATGGTTAGAAAACCAACTTGATGTGAGATAAAGGAGAAGTAAAATGCTTTGATAGCATAATTCCCAGTTTAAGGAAGTTTTCACATTTAATTGTGGAATTTCAATATTTGCCTCATTAGCTGATGCAAAAAGAATGTTCCATCGGACTTACATTAGGAATGAGACGCTTGTAAATCAGTAGACAATTGTTAAGGTAAATCAACCGTCAAGACAAGACAGTCAAGTTCAGTAATAGAAACATTCAGGTAATTCCCTCGTGTGTGTGTGTGTGTGTGTGTGTGTGTGTGTGTGTGTGTGTGTGTGTGTGTGTGTGTGTGTGTGTGTGTGTGTGTGTGTGTGTGTGTGTGTTGCTGCAGTTGTTGTTGGTTCACACTGTCTCCTGTTACACAGAGCACAGTGTGTGAGAAAGAGAGACACAAAAACCAGCTGGTTCACACACAGGCGTTGAAATAAAGAACACAGTGTGATCCCAGATGTTTTAGTTGTTCAGCCAACACAGTAAAGGTTGGCTTCTCCCTCACCTTTCTAAACTTCTGAACGCTGCCTTCAACATTTTTTGTTTTTTCAGTAAATACTGAAAAGTGCTCCTGATACTTTTCCAAATCCAAAGATGAAAATGTCTTGTTCTGTATAATAAAAAGTCTAAAAAGCCAAATATATACAGTCAATTATTGTTTTGTACATTTTGAAGGCCTGAACGTGCAGGATTTATTCTTCGAAAATTGACCCAAAACAATTGATAAACAATAGATTATCAAATAGTTGCGGTCTCTTTGTATACAAGACTTTATTATTTAGTAAGCTTAAGAGGTGATGGTAGGTTTGTTTTTGTACTTTTGACACAGTAAGGCTAGCTATATTCCAGTGCTTCTTGTGTTTATGCTTTAAGCTACTACAAATATGTCCTGATTAGATAAAAAAAGAAAAGTCAAGCAATATTTCAGCTCAGTTCTGTTATAACAGACTCAGTTTATAAAACGTAGTCTGCTTCAAAGAGTGGGGAACACGTTTATTTTATTTTCCCTCCTAAAAGTACGTTTGCAGGATCCCTCACGTGCTTCCCACTGCAGCTGAAATCCCTGCAGCTGGAGATAAAGCCTGGGAGAAAGCTGGGTATTAATACACCAGTGATCCTACTGGGAGGAGGACCCGTCTTCCTACCTTCATCTGCATCTTAAACATTTCTTATCCACAGAGAGGCAGAGCGACAGAGACTCAGAGGTTCTGCTGACGGCAGCATTAGACATCACACTGCATTATTATTAAGCAGAGAAACACACACATTAGCATAACAAGCCTGTATGTGTGCGTGTGTTGAAGTAGGTCACGTTCAGATCCTTCATCATCCGAAAACACACACACACGAACACACACAGATCACTCAAGAATATGAATGCAGACAGGAAAGCTCCAGTGGAGAGAAAACAGTGCAATCCTCTCATTAGAACTAAACTAGCATTTGATATAAAAGTGTTAGCAAGAGCAAACAAACAAAACAAAACATTTGTAAATTCTAACTTTTCTCAAACTCAAAAACATGGCAGACCAGTGTAAAATACAACCGTAATGGAAGTAGACCAGGTGTCACTCATTGGTCCCATGAAACGGGTCTTAGTTGGTCTGGTGGATGTAGTTAAGCCTTTAAGTTCATATAAACGTTTTAAATGTAATAATCTAAAAGCTAAATGAAGACTGCAAACCAGTCCTAAATATCGTTTTGGTGCCATGTCCTGTAACCAACTGTAACCGCAACAGGCAAATGAGCTATAATATTACACCTGAACAACGACAGAAACAACAAAACCTAGGATTATCTAATAAATTGTATTTTCATGATTTCTGTGATTTTATTTGGCGTTTTTAGAGAAACACCGAAAAATGGTTTAAAGAAACAGCGGGGGGTGTAGCTCAAGTTTAATCTGCATAATTTACCATATGAAGGAAAGTTTCTGTGTGTGAGACAAACAAACAAACACACACACCCACACACACACTCTGATAGGATGATGAGCAGCAGTGTGCAATCACAGCAGTCACGCAATGTATAATGAGAGGAATGTCAGACAGACCGTAGGCACACCAATCAGCCGACCAATCGCAGCCTTTGTTTTCTCCAAATCGAATTCACAGTTTCTTTCAGGAATCTTCCAGAAGATCTCTGTGTAAAAAGGATCCACAGTGTTCATATTGCTAATGAAATTATTGGAAACCACCTGATTTGTATTTTAAAATCTGTGGTCTTCATTTAAGAGTGAGCAAGTAAAGCAAGTAAAGCTGCACAGTGTGTTTGTTGGAGAGGGAATATGAACAGCAAGCTGGACTTCATGAGGTAGCAAAGTCGGCGTACTGAGAAAGAGAAGAGGACTGTTTGTGGAAACAGATGTTGGACGACAATGTTGGTCTCTGTAGGTCGTTACAGAAGTCAAATAAATTGGTCCAATGCCCTGAAATATGTGAATAAAAAGTTCCATTTAGAACAATTTAAAATGAAAAAACAACCATCATATTCTACTGAAACTATCTGCAATTTTTTATTTCAAGTCTCATTATCTTTTATTATGCTATCATTTAATGAGCTTCCATCAACCTCCATCACATCTCTCATTTATTAATAGCTTAACTTTTATAAAATGAATATTAAAGTGTATAGAAATATATGGAATGACTGATCACATTAATTGTAACAACACAACAAAAAGTAGATGGGCACCCAGAGAGCTCAGAGAGCTCAGACCGCCACAGAGTCTTGCAAAGGTTCTAAATATGACTTTCAGAACATTAATATAGCTACAAACAACATGCCTTTCAAAGATATAGTTGATTAATGGCAATGACGTTCTTTTTCCTCTGTATGTGTTGTTCCTCTATTCATGAGATGAACAGCTCTTTTTGTTTCATTTCATTTCATTTATTTCATTTAATCGTTTATTTGAACCGGGACAATGCACATTAATGAACATTTTAAACAAAATAATGCTTTCAAATGTAAATGAGCCGGATTTTAGCTTTGAGCTCATTTCCATCCGTAGTCCCGTCACATACATACCGTTTCAAAGGCAA